GCACTGGGTTAACCCCACCCGATTGAGTAAAACTAAGAAGGTCAATACTTCACTCCTGCTAGGACTCGAATTTATAAAATTGCGATTACCAAGTCACCAGCCTAACCAGATCAACTTGATTGGACTTATCACTCAACAGCTTTTTTTCACCAACCAAATAATGGAATCAATATTTTAAGTAATTTTTTTTCTTTTTTCCTTTTTTTTTTATAAAATTTAAATTAAATTCCGTCTCAATTATTTTTCATGAACCAAACATGTATTTGTTTTTTCCTAACGAGTGAATGATACATGAGCATAACATTATTTTTTTGGGAAAAAAAATTGTTGATATTTCTTAAACATTTGTAACTTTGGGGTGGATTTGAATTATAAACTGTGGGCATGGCGTGAAATTTAAGTTATCGATGAATCAACGTTTAGTCTTACTTCTCAATATGATGAAGCTTAAGGGGATTTTGAGTCTTTGACCGTTTATTCATGTTTAAGTTGAGAATTAAAATTACATTAAGAAGACTTTTGTGTAAAAGTGTATAAGCAATGAACCTAGTAACGGGTTTATAGCCCCACGAGACTAAGTTAAATGATTCAAGGGGTAATATGAAAGTCTTGCACAAACGACAGAGTGAGGTCACTGAAAGACCTTAAACCCAAAAAATTGATTAGATGTAATAAAGACTCATTATGTGCAAGCTGACAGGGGTGGAAATTGATGATTAATTGGATGGTTTGCGATTTATTTCCTCCAACGTTATTAAACAGAAGTTCTGGGAGCTTATGATTATTGTAGCGTAAGTTAAGAAATGTAACTTATTTAGAAGGAAACTATAAAAAAAAAAATTGTTTATGAGGTCACATATAGTAAAATTGTGGGTGTTTTCTCTGCGGATGGGCAGACAGGTGGGAAAAAGTGATATGTGATTTGATGAATGGAGTATAAAAGGGCGACCCAAAGTTCAAGGTTCTGGGAAACCGCTGTTGCCCTTTCTTGTCGTATTCTCATTCTCTGCTAAAATTTTTGTTTACTATAGTGATTGCTTCTCAAAAATTATTCCCAACACAAAAAGTAATTTCACCCTTTTCTTGCTTTCAACCACCTCTGTCCTTTTCCTCTTTATTAGCCGTACTATTTTTTAATAAATTATTTATAACTTGAATAATTTTTTTAAAAAAGAAACAAAAATTAGTTTACTGGTAAGAGATTTGAAATTAATATTATTAACCAATAGGCCAAGAAATGCATCATAAACTATGATCTACAAAAACTACTAAGTTGAACCTTTCACACATTTTCTTACAAGAAACTTATGAAAACTCCATCAAATGTTTTGAGATGGTTTCCATATTTTAAAAATTCGAAAATGTATTTCTTAAAGTTAAACCACTAAACAATTTAATATTTTTTCACATTTAAATAAAAAATATTTATAAATAAACACATACACATGTGTGTATGTGTATGTTTTCACTCACGTTTCATATATTCGCCTTGTGTTTAGTACTCCGTATCTTACAATACCTTGTACTGGGCTTATGAAGATGCGTGAAAATGCTAAATATCAATACCATATATTGGGCTTATGAAAATGTTAAGGGTTTGTTTGGAAACTTAACAAATGATTTTCGTAAGTCATTTTTTGGATTTTCCTTGACAACTCAAAGAAAATAAAGTTAAAGAAAAATCATCATTCTGGTCAGTGGAAAAAAGATCCACTTTGATGGAAAATGTATTACTATATTTTTAATGAGAAGACATTTTTCAGATAATTTATTTTTCTGTCTCTCTTTTTTATAATTTCTCTGCAAGCTAGTTTTCATATGATTACTACTACGACCATCACCACACTTCCACCACCATCACATTACCATCATCACAACACAACTGCCACATCACTACGATCACCTCGACACAACCACCATCACCACTACCAAGTACCAACACCCACACCAACATCAACACCAACACTAACACTAACACTAACACCAACACCAACACCAACATTAATACTAACACCAACACCACCATCACTAATTATTATTATTATTATTATTATGTTCATTTTCCAGAAAATCAACCAAACAGAAAAATACAATTTCTTAACTTTTAGCCAAACATAAAAATGTAGTTTTCTGACCATTAGTCAAACACTAAAAATTAATTTATTTTTCATGTTCCATTTTCGTATCGCAAATTATTCTGTGTACCTGGGTCCACCTTGTAAGGTGGACTCGGTTTCAAATATTCACATTTTACCTTTTAAAAATTCACAATTTATATACTACGAACCCACAATGTTAACATATATGTAATTGATTACCTTGTTTTGTATTCACAAGTTCTTTTCAAATACTGCAGTCACACAATATTAACATATTAGGATTTGATAACCCTGTATTATATTCACAAATTCCTTGTATTTTGATTTTAAAATATAACTTATATTCTAGAAGTTCATAATTCCAATACTAAAAAATAAAAATACATAATTTATACGTCGTTTAGGACCATGTTACATGGTATAACAACTCTTTTCATATTAGCTAGATTAGAAGAAGCAAGTTGTAATGGGCTCAAGGGAGACAAATTGGGCTTGATGTATTCCCCAAGGCCCATTAGGGGCATCGAGGCTGGTCCTACCTAGATGATGAGGAGAAAGAATGCGACATCTCACTAACCCTTAAGTGCCCCTCTGGTCCTTAAAGCCAAATGCTTCCAAATCCAACTTTGTAAGCTTCCGTTTAGGAGTATTATTACATAAATAATTACACACTTTGATTGAGACTTAGTCCAAAATCATTTTTAATTACAGAAAGCGAAGTGCTCTTTAGTCATTACTTATTTCCAATGAAAATTTTATCCATCCAACCATCCCATTAACCACTACATAAAGTCGCCCCTACCTCCAAAAGTTTGGATGGAACACGATTTCGTACCTAAATGTCACAAGTTTTTTTTTTTTTTTTTTTTTTTTTTTAAATAACTCAAGTTTTCTGATTTCGCTGCGGGATTATATCTTAGATTCCATGATCCAACCTCAGGTCAATGAGAAGGTAAATCGAGTCAATTTAGCTTTGAAAATCAATGCTAAACTGCATACTTACGTTTCGTACATAATTACACAAGGAGTTCATCCCAAACCAAAACCGTCAATGTTCATGATAGAGATCAAACCCCCGCCCTACTGCTATAAGCAAATCTTAAGTGGCGTTTCTCATCCTCTAAAGAGTTCAGTTTTTGCCAACACTTTCTTGAACCAACCTATTGCACTGTTTTAAAATGAGTGAACGAGTAAGTATAACATGACACCCGCACTTAAATATTATAAATTTAATTATTGTCAACACTCTTTCAATCGAATCAGTCATATAATATAGTCTTCCTTGTGCTAATGAAATTTACTCAGTCTATACTTAAGAGTAGTGGGAAAAAAAAAGTTGGCATTTGAGGGACCAGGCATTGCTTAGCCTCAAGTTTAAATAACAATATTAGGTGCTTAATTATTCTAGGGGAATAGGGTAGTGAGAGGTGGGAAACAAAAGTCACAAGTGGATCACCTTTATTCATTATATGGTAGCGTATATTTTTACAATACTGCTGTCTTTATTTTATAAATGAATTCGGATAGTTGTACGTAGTAATCATCAATAGTATTATTAATCTGGTGGATGATGATTGGTTGAATTGATAAGAATCTTGGATTTGTTTAAATATGGTTTGGTTTAACTTTTTGCAACCAGCAAATTTTGTAGTGGGAAATATGTAAAATTTTAATTTTTCTTTTAAATCGTAAATATGTCCAAACTTTATCTTAAGTCTTTAGGATTTTTTAATTTTTTTAATATTTTGATATGAAATCTTATAAATTGTGTGATTATATTACGATTTCAGTACTCTAAACTTAAAATCGATTACTTAAATTTTATCCAATAGTTTAGATGTGAACTATCAATTCAAACCATTTTTTCATTTTTTAAATTCTATATATCTTTATTAACCTATAAAATTGTAAATTTCAAATTCAATGTGTATTAGAAATGTTTTTTTTTTTTTTTTTTGTCTAAAAAAATCATTTTCTAATTGAGAACCCAAGAGTTGTTTGGTTCACATGAAAATATTTTTTTGAGAGATTATTTTCCCAAATTTGAGAAAATTATATTTTACCTTATTTAGGTGATGGGAAAATTTTTTATTATTTTTTTTCTCCTAACTCTATTATAAGATAGTATCTGTTTATTATATTTTCTCCATCTATTATAGTCTAAAAAATCGATCTTATGACTTTCTCTCAAACACTATAATATTAGTCCTCATTTCCATAGATCCTTTACCATGCCCAAATCTAATCCGTATCAACTGAAAGGTGAACGTGCGGAAAATCATAAAATGTTTTCTTAAAAAAATGATATGTTGACCAAACATAAGAAGAGTGCAGTACTATCACATAGTAATATAGTACTGCACAAATTTGTACAAGAATCCATTTTGATTGGACAATAAAACAATGGATAACATAAAAGAAATTTTGGCCAATCAAATCGCGTGTACCCTAACAAAATTCCACTCAATCGAAAGTGACAACCTTAAATTGAAAGATAACAGATTTTTTATTTCTTTTCATTTACACAAAAAACCCCACCGCTATTTAAAAATGCATTCTATATTAAGTTCATCTGATAATCTGAATAACTATAAGAAAGTCAATAAACAATTGTCATAGAAAATTAAACTTGAAATATGATGATTTTTTCAGTTAATTGTCTGACCAGTTTGGCTGATTGTTCCTGATATTAAATTTTTTTGTTTTGTCAAGTGGGGTGGGGAGTGGGGGAGGGTGCCCTCTAGGCCTCTAAGAAAGAAAGTAACCTTAAAATAATTAATGTCATTGATTGGCCAAAAGATTAAAGATAAGGGTGGTCTCAATCATGCAATTAAAGTCCATCTTAAAACCCTAATTAGGGTTATGGGGTAGCTTAAGAAGAAGAAGCAGTAAATTAAGAAAATAATAATAATAATAAAAGAAGAAGAGAAGAAGAAAATCTGTCTTTCCTTTGCTCTGCCCCTTTCTTCATAGGAGAGAGTAATGAAGGACCCCAATCTGTAAACGGGGCCGTTGAAACGCAAACGCCGTTACGATACTCTTTCTACCCCGTTTAGTCAGTCCACTTGTTTCTTTTCAAAAGCGACTTTTCCGCGTATGGCGCTTGAGGGGTTGAGCTTGGCTCGGGCGCCGGCGGAGGCGGAGACGGAGGTGGGTGGGGGGCGTTTGGTGGCCGCCGCCGCCGTGAACGGCGGCGGCGGGGGGGATGACGGGAGCAAAGCGCCGAGGTTGCCTAGGTGGACGAGGCAGGAGATTCTTGTGCTTATACAGGGGAAGAGAGTGGCGGAGAGCCGGGTGAGGCGGCGGAGGACGGCGGGGATGGAATTCGGGTCGGGGCAGGTGGAGCCGAAGTGGGCGTCGGTTTCGTCGTACTGTAAGAGGCACGGGGTGAACCGGGGGCCGGTTCAATGCCGGAAACGGTGGAGCAATCTGGCCGGGGACTATAAGAAGATTAAGGAGTGGGAGTCGCAGATACGGGAGGAAACGGAGTCGTTTTGGGTCATGAGGAACGATTTGCGGCGGGAGAGGAAGCTTCCCGGCTTCTTCGACCGCGAGGTTTACGACATCCTCGACCGCGGTGACGACGCCGTAGCCGCCGCCGCCGCCGAGGAAGTCACCGGAGCTTTGGCTCTGGCTTTAGGCCCATCGGTTGCGCCCGGTACCGACGACCCGGACCCGGAAACCTTGTTCGACAGCGGTAGAAGCGCCGCGGCTGATGATGGGCTGTTTTCGGATTTTGAGCAATCGGGTCAAGAGGAGGCCGGTGTTGCCAGTCCCCGGAAGGATTTGCCGGCGGCGGAGGAGGTTCCACCCACCGCTATTCCTGCTCCAATTCCGATTTCAGGTATCCATATAGTTACATGCAATGTCTTTGTTTGCCTATTATATAACCTAAGGTACCAAATTCATGCCCTAATATGATATTCTGAATTCGATCTATCCAAAATTGAAATGCTATGTTTCTAAAAATCCATTCTTTACCCGGGACTCACGATTTATCTCCTCTAGCGGCTCTGGGTAGGAGTTTTGAAACCTTAAGATTAATCGTACATCAATTGGGAAACCTAATGTACCAAAAAAATCCATTCTTTAGTAACTAATACAAAATGAATGATATATTATATGATATATTGGTGTGTATTTGATAACTCATCACAACTAACTGTATCTTTGATGATGATGATGATAAAATGTTTTACTATTTATATACAAAGTGTAACGGAAGTTCAGTGATTCATATGCTTGTTTGATGATAAATGGCGAAAATTTGATAAAGGTTATCTGAATTATTATGTTGATCTAATGGTGTTATAGTGGTCGTGTGTTTGGGGATGTTTTTGAACTCTTAGCCTTTGTCAAGTTTATGGTAAGGCGTGGAATTGGGCTTCTTTAATTTACTAGAAGTTTTGTTTCTGAATCAACTGCAGAGCAACAATACGAACCCTTCTCTCAAGAAACTCCTGCTCAAGGTACGTATTCTATTCTCAGAATGTTTTCGTTTTGATTACTCTGAACTCCAGATTTTGGTACTAGAAAATACACAGGTGACAGGTGGTTCTCGAATATGTTTTCTAGGTTGTCTAGGTTGCATCTGTTATATCATCTAGCATGTCTATTGGTACAAGTTTAAAGCGGTTCCTTTAAACTAATAAGCTTTTTAGTGTGGCATGGCTCATGGATATTTCATAAAGCGATCAAATGTAATGTGGTTTAATAAGCAAGTTGAAGTCTTTTCACTAAAGTTTCCTTGGTTCTTGTTTGGTCCAACTGGAGCTTCTTGAAATAAGCTTCTTTTTTTGTGGAGTAGATAAACTCTAATAACCCGTTGTCCAAAATATGAGGCTCGGCCTGGTTTTTCCCTGACTGATCTAGTGGCTGATATTCTCCCCTTTCAGAAAATGAACAAATTTGCGGTTGGTTTTCTCCGCCTTTTCCTGATATTGGCTTCTTTTTAGGCACGAGCCATCAGAAACAAGCCGCCTCGGAGCCCGATTTGAGAAGCGGTCAGGAAGGAAGGAAAAGAAAGCGCAACATGACCGATACAGATGCAGATGCAGATGAAGAATCAGAGAATCTGCAGCACCAGCTCGTGAAGGCATTAGAGAGGAACGGGAAGCTACTGAGCTCCCAGCTCGAAGCGCAAAATGCACATTTGCAGCTCGACAGGGAGCAGCGTAAGGATCATGTGAATAGCCTAATAGCAGTTCTTAATAAACTTTCGGATGCCTTGGGGAGGATTGCGGATAAACTGTAGAGGAGGAGAGAAACGAAGAGATTTGGCTTGTCAAATCAATGCGGGATACAGATAATTCGCCTCTTAAATAGTTTAAATTACTGAATATATATTATATATACACATATTCTTTTCCTCTTTGGTACATTCTGAGGCTATAGTTGTGTTAGAAGATAGAGCTATACAAACAAATAATATATATAGAAATTTGAGGCAGCTGGCAATTTTTCTTCCCCTACTTTGTTTATTTATCTTACAGAAGAATTGTCCCTGGTTTTGTCATGACTGTGTAGTGTGTACAGGTCAAACATAGATAATTTAAGTTGTGCAATTTATGGGCTTCCATATTATTATTATTATTATATAGTATTATTACTTCCATCACTGACTGTATTACTATGATGTTTGTGTCCACTGAGGTTTGCAGCAGGGATCTTTACATGAATCTACCTTCATGTGTGGGAATAATTCCAAGATTCTTCACTTATCTGTCATTAGCCCAAAAGAGTCCAAGTCTCTTCACATGATTTCTTAAATATATATATAGATCCTGGTTCAAATGAGGACAGGGCTTCTCGGTGTGGCCGGTATCATTAGGTATGCATAAATGTAGCATACATTGTTCCAAAATGTATCAGAATGAAATGCACAAATGCATCATACCTAATGGTGCATTTTCAGACACTTTGTAGTGCATTTATGTCTACCTAATAGTGTGTGACTACACAGCCGCACAGGAAACACTATCCGCACAAAAGACAAAAACCTGATCATATATATACATGTGAGAACATGTTTTCATGTAAAAAGTGAAGAATGGTATAATCCATTCATTTGCCCAGACTTTGATAAACAGCTGAAATCATTTCTTATGTTTTCATTCATCTATGTGTATATATAAATACCTATTCTAAAAAGGAGTTGGCTCAAGAAAGCATGCATGAGATCGAGAGTTCAAAACTTCAAACTATATAACTAGTATGAAAGACATACATATGATATATCATATAAAAACCTTGTATTGTGATGCTAATATTAACACAAGGTAAACACAAGTGCAGACAAAAAGAAAAAGGAAATAAAGATAGCCAAGATTTGAGACATTTTTGAGTTGAAAGTACACACTCTACATTCTTTTGCAAACCACTTGACATTGTAAGAACCCATTAAGAAGTTCAAGTAACAGGATCTTCCACCCTTGACTTGCTTCGGTAGTGGCGATCTGGTTTACAAATACCAGTATCTTCGGATGTATCCATTTGCATATCATCTTCTTCTGGTGCACTGTCACCTCTCTGTGCCTCCCAAGCAGCAATGCCTACTGGAATGCTCTGTTGATTCGGGATTTCTTTAGAAGCATCTTCGCTGGCATCCTCCATTACTATGGCACTGTTAGTCTTCTTCTTAGGGACAAAACTTACAGATTTAGGAAGGGTATTAGATGGTTCCTCAGTCTGCAGATTGTTCTTCCACTTTTTCACCTCCTCAAGTACATACCTACACACTAGACTATTGGACTCGTCATCAACCTCACCACATGACTCTAAACTGTAGCGGGTGTATTTTGAAGGATTGATAAGATGATCAGGAACCTTAGGTTTGTTTTCATCAAACAAGGAGTCACAATCTCGTGCCTTGGTGTCCTCGGTTGAAGAAGCATCAGAAAATACAGGGGCTCTTTCTGGAGCATCTTCAGATTCATCCACAAAGCTAGGATCAAATCTAACTCGCTTTTTGGACCTCAACTCGCCCATACCTTTCCTTTTCAATATCGGTTTCAACTTAGAACAATCATCAGATGTCGCTTTACTCTCCTCATGCTTCTCACCACTCACCTCAGTGTTAGAAAAATTGGGTTCATATTTTGCCGCCTCTGCAGCATCTTCCTTCAGTCTAACTTGTGCAGCGATTTGATCTGCACGAGGATCTTTACGGAAGCAGTTCCTCGCCTTCCCCTTCCCCTCAGCCAACCTGTCATATTCATCTTCTTCTTCCTGCAGTAAATTAAACATAGAATTTAGTGTGAATACAGCCCAGAAACAATACAAACAGCTTCTTTATCCTTCCAAAAGTAAATACCAAACAATAATACTATATATCTTTGACAACCACACTAGCACACTATGCTCAACCTTCCAACCTTACTGAGAGAGGTTGCTTCTGAACTTCTGAAGTTTGAAGCCAAAACCTAACAATCATGGATGCTCCCCATGAGCACTGACCACATCACAATAGAGAATAGACATGAAAAGTTATTTTGTTTTGTGAGAACCAAAACTGGATTAAGTAACAAGTGTACAACCAAAATGGTGAAGATGAATGTTTCCCTAGATATGATATACCTTCTCTACATAGGTAAGAGAACACTACATTACATTAACAGAACCATATCTTACATACTAAATTGATCAACCTAACCCATCATCGTAACATCATCTAGAATTAATCAAGAAATTCACACTCAAAAATAGTAACATCATCTAAAATTTATCAAGAAATTCACACACTCAAAAGTAGATTGCATTTCCCCCAAATCAAATGTAGGTCTAAACAGACAAATGTGTTTTCTAGTAAGAACTGGTGCTTATGATGTGTGAACTCTGGAAATTAAATCCTAGTGAAAGGTATGGATAAGTTGAGCATTAAGTAGCTACGAAGGACACAATTTTGAATTTAATGGCAAAAAGAACAAAATAGTAGAGAAAATAATACTGCACCTCGTTATCAAGCGTTGAGTCCAAACCAATGGAGGATCTGATTTCCCGAACATCCCTACTGTCACCGTCTTCGAGGTCGTCATCGAGCCCTTTCCTGTTACCGTCTTCATCGCCACTGAGATCTTCGAGGTCATCGCCAAGCCCTTTTGGACGAGCGTCGCGGCGATTTCGTTTGAACATCCCATCGAACGACGAGGAACAGATGGTCTGGTCGTCGTCTTTGCCTTGGCTTCGATTCCACTCTCGCTTCTCAACCTCTTCGTCAGTGAGCGACCACAGCGGCTTCAGCGCCGGCGACATTGACGACGGCGACGACGATAGCGAGCCGAAAACCTTGTGAACTCGCGCTCTGAAGCTGTCATCGTCCATGGGATCTGACGATGAAGAAGCCATTCTTAGATTCCGTACGATAGATTTTCAAATATGGATCGAAGCGTTCGCTTGGCTTTACCTTTATATAGTTCTCAGCTCTCAGAGGTTAGAACTCGGAACCGCCATCGATGGCTCCTCCTTGACCTGACCGTGTTAGATTTGTGGTTTTATCTCGAATTTTGAGTTTGACCCCTTAATTTTTAAATAATTATGCTTTTATCCCCCAGTGTATTTCTCAAAGAATTGAGGCAAGTATTGTGATTTATTGCGTCATCCTCCAAACTTCAAATATGGGCATTTCAATCTATACATCCCTATCGGTTCATAACCACTCCCATAATTTCTCATTTAGGAAAATCACTAAATATTTATTAACTACACATAATAAATTTTGAGAGATTACTCTTACACTGTCGTTAATAAAATTCGATCTCAAATCATTATTTTTTCTAACTTTACTTATATGATCAATTTAAAGTATTTTGTTATTCACGCGAATGTGAATTTAATATACGAATTGTATTAATACATTATACATGTATAGTTTAAACTTGAATATTTATAATTGTATCATCTTTATTATAAACCTTATAGATTTATAATTTTACTTTCAAAATTTTGTTCGTTCCTTAATTATACCATTTGTCACTTTTTTTTTAGTATTACTGACTATGTTACAATGTATAATCTGTTCATAATTATTTTCTCAACCTACTGAAACACAAAGAGACAATTTAATTTAAACGTAATGCAAAATATAATTTGATCATGTTTTCTTTCTTTCTTAACCGGACATAAATATTGTGATACTATTAAATTGTGTTGGGCTGGCTTAAAATATGTTTATCAATAATGGGTTTAGGAGATTAAGTCGGCCCAATTATAGTTTGAACCATCCATCTAAGCAATCGTTATGCTGTGCATCCGTATGCACCATTGGGATGCCAAAACGACATCGTTTTATTAAAAAATGAGCGTCTCCCTTTTAAAAAAAATTCAGGTTTGATTCCCAGCAACAACATTTTATTGTTCATTCATTCTAGAATTTTAGTTCATAGATTATGGAATTATAGTTCATTAATTATGGAATTATAGTTCATCGATTATGGAATTGTAGTTCATCGATTATGAAATTTTAGTTTATAGATTATGGAATTTTAGTTCATTCATTCTGGAATTTTTAGTTCATAGATTAGATTATGAAATTATAGTTCATCGATTATGGAATTATAGTTCATCGATTATGGAATTTTAGTTCATATATTGTTGCTTGGAATCGAACCTGATTTTTTTTTTAAGGAGAGACGCGCGTTTTATTAAAACGACGTCGTTTTTGCATCCGTATGCATCATGCATGGTGCATGGTGCATGGTGCATACGGATGCACAACATAATTTGCCCCATCTAAGTCCACCTCTTTGGATATCTTAAAAAATGGTAATGATACTTGGCAAATTATGGTAATGATCTTTGAATATCCACCATGCATGGTGCATACGGATGCAAAAACGACGTCGTTTTATTAAAAACGCGCGTCTCACTTAAAAAAAAAAAAAACAATTTCGATTCCTAGCAACAACATTATATTGTGCATAATTTGAACTAAAATTTCAGAATCTATGAACTAAAATTCCAGAATCTATGAACTAAAATTCCAGAATCTATAAACTAAAATTCCATAATGAATGAACTAAATATCCATAATGAATGAACTAAATATCCAGCATGAATGAAAAAAAAAAAAAATCAGTTTCGATTCACGTCTAAAAATCCATAATCAATGAACGAAAATTCTAGAATCTATGAACTAAAATTCCAGAATTTATGAACAACATAATGCTGTTGAGAGGAATCGAAACTGGTTTTTTTTTTTTAAGTGGGATGCGTATTTTTAATAAAACGACGTCGTTTTTGCATCCGTATGCACAACATAACGATCCATGATACTTATCCTAAATCCTAAATAATATAATACCAGCTCAATCCAAGAATGCTGATAGGCTTTCTTGTATAACTAATTTAATGGAGTTTCTTCCATTTTTATTATTATTCTTTTTATATATTTATATTTAGCAATGCACTATGTTCCCAACAATTGAAATGATGTTCTTTATAAGAATCACTTGTTGACCTTATCGGTTTCAACTATTAAGTTATGGGTAACTTAGGCTGACTTTATTTTATTATAGTTCTTTTGTCAACTAAGAGTATAAGTCAGGCTCACCTATAGAGCAGTAAGAGCACCTTCAGATAACAACAACACTTTTTTTTTTTTTTTTAATATAAATCAAAACTATTTAAACGGTGATTTAGTGCTTCAATTAGTGCTTGGTGTTTGCTTCTAGGGTGCTTCTATTTGTATATGTAAATTTAAATGTAGAGAGCTACACTTAAGGTGTGTTCGGAAAATAGAAAAATGACTTCAAAAAAATATTTTATGAAAAATGAATTATTTTTTCAGAAAACATTTCCTTTATAGTGTTTGGTTGCATTCTAGAAACCTGTCTTGGTGTGTTTGGTTTATTTTCTGTAAAATGAGCATAAATATTTCTAATTTAAAATATATAATGATGGTGGTGGGGGGAAGTGGGGAGGGGGGGTGGTGGGGTGGGGGGGGGGGAGTGATTGGCTGCTCCACAGCGGCAAACGAAAAATGACTTTCCAACAAAAAAAAAAAATGAGAAGTCATTTTTTCAGAAAATTTATTATATTTTCCATTGGCCACACCCCTATTATCTATTGACTTCTATTTTCTTTCTATAGCCAAACACTGAAAACCTTAAATTTTATGGATTTCCAAACGCACCCTTATATGAAAAATAAACAAAAAATCTTAGACGCAATCGATTGAGAAATATTACACACAATTTAGACCGTTGATTAAAAAATTTCATTATACCAACATTAGTAGATGTGTTCGAGCGTGAGAGAATAGATCTCGAAGAATTTTAAAAAAATATTATTCACTAATTCAATAGTTTGGGCAAATGGTAAGCAATTTATTAATACAACTAGAAGGTCAAAACGTTTTTCCTCGAATGTTCTCATCAATTGGCATTGACACAAGATCAATTAATGTTCTCATCAATTGGCATTGACACAAGATCAATTTCTGGCTGTCGCATTAAGGAGTTTCACCCTCTTATCGCCAGACTCCTTGCATCCAAAGCTTTCATTCAAGTAATTGTTTACATTGGCTCGATTTTTTTTTTATTTTTTTAATGCTATTAACTCTATTACAATGCGAGAGTCAATAGCGCCTCTACTGAGACTCGAACCCCTCTCATATGGGAGTTCAACTTGGTACCATTAGATCACAAGGTCCTTAGCTAAGCAAATAAACTTAAAGATAAATGTTCATAAATTGAGTATTTGACATGTAATCATTACTATGGTATAGTTTTATAAAATATTTGGTTGAAAAATTAACAAGTTTTTAGTATAGACAATATATAAATTTTATAAATATGTAATTAACGTATTATAAACATGTAGTACCAATGTTGATTTTGACCGTGCGAAAAAAATGTCAATAATGTGCTTATAACATTATTTATGTAAGTTACGAAATGACATTGTCTTGATTGAACCTAGTCAGAATATAATAATTGGAGTTAAACTCTGTTGGAGGAGCTCAAATTGAATCAAAATTAGTCAACCAAATATTGTAGGAAAAACAAGTATTATACACTTGTTTTCTTTAAGTTTTTTTTTTTTTTTTTTTTTTTTTGGACTTTCTGAAAAAAACTTTGGAAATTTTCGAAAAACAATTTTCTCACTTTATTCCTCACGTCTACACCCTTTAGTCCACTAGTGCGCTTGGCCGCTTGGGCCACTCCCAATCAAGAATCCAAATGACAAAGACGCATTATGAATGTTTGGTCAGCTAAAACACAAAACTTAAGCAATATTTTAATTACAATTAATCAAAAATTTATATACTTTGATTTACGAGAAAGTTTGCTGGTAACTCTAGCAGGTAAAGGATAATAGTAAAATAAATCATTTTAGGTTGTGCATAATTAATTGGCTCAAACTAACAAGGCCAATAAATAACTCATAAAAGTCAAAATTAAAATGTTGTGGTAAGCAAGGCCAACTTTCTACACTATACTTTAAAATGTTTGGTTTTTAAAAATAAAAGTGCATGTTCAATCAATACACATAACTCCTTTAAATTACATATATATCTCATCACTCTTTCTTTTTTTTTTTTTTTTTTTTTTTCTGATGAGAGAAACTTACAGTCATTATTTAATAGTGTACATTGGTCATTTGATAAATTTATAATTTTGTAATAACTTGTAAATAAACTATACAAAGATAAACCAGACTATGATATATTCCGTCAGTTCTTATGTATAGTAATCGAGATTTTCATGATGGGTGTTAGTAAAAATTTTCCAATGATTAATTATTGCAATTAAGTTGAGCACTAGGCTCATCAACTGGAAAAGGCAGATCTGAGTGTGGAAACTAGCTAGAAAGAAAGAAAGAAATGGCAAGTGGTCAAAAAAGTGATGAGCGTAGGGGCCTTAGGCCTTAGCTGTTGGGATAAAGTTTCCCCATCACCTCCTCTTTATTTACCTTTTGCTTTCGTATACACCAAAAATCATAAATGTATTTTCATAACTAATCTAAAAAGGGAAGGTCCATCTCGCGATTTATTTTCACCAAATAATATAAAATGTGATTCCATGGGATTCAAACTCATAATCTCCCACCTAATAACACAAGTACTAACTACCAAAGTCACTCAAAATCTTGTATACTAACGGAGCATTTAGTTGGAGAGAGGGAATTACGTGGGAAATGAATTACAATTCCATGAGAGCTGAATTACTCAGAATAAAGTGAGAATTTAAATTCTAGTGTTTGATTCACATGAATAAAATTATTGGTAATTCCAATTCCAATGTTTGATATACATAAGAAATGAAAGGTAATAAGTAGTATAAAGTCCAAAATACTCATTGTTGTTGTCAGACATCAATTTTAGGTGTTGTCTCATCATTATCTTTTTTTCTTCCTGAAATTAATGGAATTAAAATCCCATGGGATTTTAATTCCATGAAAATGAGGGAATTATAATTCGGTCCAACCAAACTAAAAAATTTAGTGGTCTTTGGAATTAGGTGGGAATTAA